ATGCAACCTTATTGGTAACTGTAGCTTTTCACATGAAAAGGTAGCAACATTTACAAGTTAAGATAAGAGTTGGAAAAAGAAAAGGAAAATGGTAACTCTTTTTCTTGTTCACTAATTTTTAAGCTTCAACTTTAGTATATGTTGACCAGAATTTTTACCATATTGTAGTCAGATTTGCTGAATTATAGCTCAGAGAGCTTTAACCTTTACTGCAAATGAAAGTGTTGTATCTAAACAAACAAATGAAGAAGTCAAGAATGCATTTGAAACTTTAGATTGCTAAAGCAATAAGAAAACATAATTAAGCTAAACATGAAAAGTAAGTCTTAGGTTGTTCTTGTTTGTCGGTGCTTTTTTGGGATTCGTTGGGACATTTGGTTAAACAAAAGTTAAACAAATGCGTAAATGCTTCAGGAGCCAACATAAGTTTTACTTGGACAAAACAAGTGAATAAACAAGCTGAGAATATCAATTAAACTTTCATGCTTTTATGACAAGAAATTGATTATCGTTGTGAATCATCGTTATGAATCATCGTTCCAATTAATTATGAAAACAATCAAAAATATATGAAGTTTATATCTTGTTATTAAAATCTAGATGTGAAAATATATTGTTCTTTCGATCAAAGTCAACGTGTGATATGATAAAATGTATTGATACGTTACGGTTATTAAGTGCATGCTTAGTTTATCATAAGCGTATTATTATATTATTACAATAAATCCGGGAACTTTAGAGATCCGTGTTTCCTTGATTAATTTTTTGATACAAATTTAACTCAGGTAATCAACTTTGGCAATCAATTCACACAACATTGTAATGTTATTCGATTCTTTATTTATTTCGAGTTCTCGTTTTGTGCAAATTTTTAAGAAAATATATTAATAACAACATATAAAATAAATTCTGAGAAGTTACGGATTTGACCTTTTTAGATGATTAGGTGAGTTTAGTCTACATTTTTCGGTTCTTAATCAATATTTATGCAACTAGTTTATTAGAGGCATAAAAAGCAGATAGCTTCTGTGAAGAGTACGATGGAAAATCATTTGATAAATTTTTCAGTGAAATGGAATTAATTAACTCAATTTTCAGTTGAAAGACTAAATACTAAGACTACTGAAGGAGGCGATTGTTCAAATTACCATCACCAGAGCACCATTTATTGTTATTAATCAATTTCTTTTTCGCCTTTTCGCAATTCAATTAGCCAAAGTATCTGAAAAGTACCAAAAGACTAGCAACAAAATCGTATCAGATGTGCTTTACACTGAAATGAATTTAAATTTTGAACAATGTGCATCATTATGTCATGAATGGTGACACTGGATGTAAATCATTTAATTATTGTCCTAAAAGTAAAACAAAAAGTTCGTGTTCATTGACTCAATTTTCAGTTAAAACTTTTAACTTTTCAACTTTTAAACCAGTTTAATCCAAGAAAAATTATTTGACGTGCTGGATCGCCCGTGTTATCTGTTCAATTTCAATCAGAATAAGAACACTTGCGAATCCAGAGTAATCATTCACTTAGAACTAGTTGAAATTTTTAATTAATTAAAATGATAAGTTGTGTTCAACTATCGCTATCTACACAAATAACTATCCAATGTTTTTTGAGTGGTAAACAGTCATTTACAATTGCAATTTACCAACGTTTCTTCGTTAGTAAATTGTGGTATTTTATGCCCTCTTCAAGCTTTAAATAATTGCTTAACAATTTTATTTGCTTTAATTTTTATTCGATTTCAATAGATAATGAAAATTGCAAAAGCATTTCTAGAAAAAGTATCTAGAAAAATTTTCTGTAAATTGATTCAACAAGAATTTAAATTGCCAAAAAAATAACTCGATTGTTTTTTTAGCAGTATTGTAATACTCAGTATTGTATTTGTCGTCCCTGTAAAACTTCAAATTTCGAATCTCATTGGATAATGATTTTAAACGATCAACGATATTCATATCCACTCGGTCTGAACGTCCTAAGGACTCTTCACACACCCGAACCATCTCAATGTCACCAATATAAGCGTCCATCAAATGTTGAAGTTCCTCTTCAGCAAAACTGGAGCCTGAATTCACACTGACGTAATCCAAATTAGGAACTTGCATGATATGGCACACATCCTTTATAATGTCCACGATATGCGAGTAATTTTCTAAAACGATTTGAGTGTCATTAATATTTGAATCCATTGATTGCAACAGTAATTGTAACGATTGATCAGTAGTATTTAAAAAAATTTTTGCGTCTTTTCCAATTGATTCTCCTCCATATAAAGTCCTAACTTGATCAATTCGTCGATTTACCAATGATGATATCAATAGCTGCGGTATATTTTCATGAGAATATAGACCTTTAATGAATTCCGACTCGCGCAATGTTGAGCATAATGACACATTGATCGCAGCAACTAAATTGAAATTAAAATCAAAATTGAAATTATTAAAAGAAATTGGAAACCGAGCAAAAATTAGCAACTTACGTAAAAAGATGAGTCCAATCATAGTTTTCATTTTGGTAATAGTTTTAAATCAGTTAGTCAATGTTAAACTATAAAATCAATACAAGCTGAATTGATTCAGAACAATGAGAAAAACTTTAATGAATTGAACTGATTTGAGCTCGTCTTTATATCTACCTGATTTTTTCAATCATAGAATTGATCAACAATTTATCGCTACATACATCATTGTTGCTTTGTTTTTTATTTCAACTTTAAAACCACTCAAATAACATTTAATCAGTTCATGATTAGATTGTATCGACCCAAGTAACATTTAATCAGTTTTGAATAATGTTAAGTAGATTATAGCGTTTTTTTCTGTTTGTTATTTCTCACCTTTAACCATTTCTAATGCGTAAAATCGAATCATGATTCACAGCCCATGATTATTTGGTTGATTTCAATTCAAACAATAATCAAGTTGTGATTGAATTGAATGCAACGATATGATTAAATGATAATCCACAATGCTTTAAACATTTGAAATAGTGTCAAAGTAGTCGATAACACAGGCCATAATCTCATGATTTACTAGCAAATCAATCCAAGTCAGATCCATGGATCACCATTAGAATCACGAGTTATAATCATTAATTGTTGCTCATTGCCATGACCTTTATTAATGCCATCCAGCAAATTTAATACACCGCGAATATATGTCTGTGCTATTATCAGGGGTTTTCATAATGTTTTAATAAGGCATGAAAAATAAGTTTGAGTAACTTTCTGAACAGTTCATCTCTATCTTGGATAATCAAGGGACAACAATTTATTGGAGGTATGACTGCTAGAACTTTACAAAAGAGTTTACCAGTTTACCCATTGTAAATACAATTAGCAAGTGAATTAAAAGGTTAAAAGGGCTTTAGCGAATGCACTTTCTTTTGTTGCATTTTGTCAACAAGACATAATTTTATTATTTAATAGCATTTAATAATCCCAATAAGCCACCGAGAAATAATAACAACAAAATTATTCCAAAGGCACCTGATCCACTTGTTCCTTTAGTTAACTCAATCAAACTGGATTCTTTGCTTTTCTTTCCATTTGATTCCCTTTCAACTCGTAATTTGAACAATCGCCTCCTTCAGTGGTCTTAGTATTTGAACTTTTAACTGAAAATTGAGTTAATGAACACGAACTTTCTGTTTTACTTTTAGGAAAATAATTAAATGATTTACATCCAGTGTCACCATCCATGACATAATGATGCACATTGTTCGAAATTTAAATTCATTTCAGTGTGAATCACATCTGATACGATTTTGTTGCCAGTCTTTTGGTACTTTTCAGATACTTTGGCTAATTGAATTGCGAAAAGGCGAAAAAGAAATTGATTAATAACAATAAATGGTGCTCTGGTGATGGTAATTTGAACAATCGCCTCCTTCAGTAGTCTTAGTATTTAGTCTTTCAACTGAAAATTGAGTTAATTAATTCCATTTCACTGAAAAATTTATCAAATGATTTTTCATTGTACTCTTCACAGAAGCTAGCTGCCCCTTATGCCTCTAATAAACTAGTTGCATAAATATTGATTAAGAACCGAAAAATGTAGACTAAACTCACCTAATCATCTAAAAAGGTCAAATCCCTAACTTCTCAGAATTTATTTTATATGTTTTTATTAATATATTTTATTAAAAATTTGCACAAAACGAGAACTCGAAATAAATAAAGAATCGAATAACATTACAATGTTGTGTGAAATTGATTGCCAAAGTTGATTACCTGAGTTAAATTTGTATCAAAAAATTAATCAAGGAAACACGGATCTCTAAAGTTCCCGGATTTATTGTAATAATATAATAATACGCTGATGATAAACTAAGCATGCACTTAATAACCGTAGCGTATCAATACATTTTATCATATCACACGTTGACTTTGATCGAAAGAACAATATATTTTCACATCTAGATTTTAATAACAAGATATAAACTTCATATATTTTTGATTGTTTTCATAATTAATTGGAACGATGATTCACAACGATAATCAATTTCTTGTCATAAAAGCATGAAAGTTTAATTGATATTCTCAGCTTGTTTATTCACTTGTTTTGTCCAAGTAAAACTTATGTTGGCTCCTGAAGCATTTGCGCATTTGTTTAACTTTTGTTTAACCAAATGTCAAGAACAACCTAAGACTTACTTTTCATGTTTAGCTTAATTATGTTTTCTTATTGCTTTACCAATCTAAAGTTTCAAATGCATTCTTGACTTCTTCATTTGTTTGTTTAGATACAACACTTTCATTTGCAGTAAAGGTTAAAGCTCTCTGAGCTATATTTCAGCAAATCTGACTACATTATGGTAAAAATTCTGGTCAACATATACTAAAGTTGAAGCTTAAAAATTAGTGAACAAGAAAAAGAGTTACCATTTTCCTTTTCTTTTTCCAACTCTTATCTTAACTTGTAAATGTTGCTACCTTTTCATGTGAAAAGCTACAGTTACCAATAAGGTTGCAAAAGTTGTCTCAACAGTTAATAACACCTAAAAGTTGGTGTCATAGCCTTAATAGTGTTAATTTCACTATCTCTAGTATCTTAACCAGATTCGACAAATGAAGAAAGTGAATTTAATTTCTTTCTTAATTTCCCTCTATTTTTGATTTCTTTGTTTAACAAATATGCCATAGGCATATTGACTCAAACATTAGACGTGAAACCGAAGTCTAATGCAGTTTAGTCTTTAGTTTAGACTTAAAATTTTTAAATCATTAGTAATTGAATAAGTGTTAACATTACTCTGATCTTTGATCTATTGCTTTGTTTTTGTTTTTGAGATGCAAAACATTGAATGTAAGATTCAAATTACAGATTCTTAGTAATTGATGAATCTTTTCTTGTTGGCTTTACTTTACTTAGAGTTTACTTCAAAGTCAAATTTTTCTTCTTTTTTCCGTGTCTGTTAATATTGATAAAATTTTTGTATTTTTGATAAATTAGTGTCTAAATTAAAGTAATGTCTAATTCTCAAGATGGTGCATTTGATAGCTTAGTTAATTGTGATGCGAAACCTAAAAAACACAAATGTTGGAAATGGGATAACTTCGACGAAATTGATGGACAACATTCGGCTATTCTGCATATTACGAACCCCGTTTTATTTTGATGAAACTTGGTGTACATACTTATTTTGTCATGAGATTTCGATTTATGATGTCTCTATTTGCGAAAATGCTTACTTCCGGCGATACCGCAAGTGGCTCATATCTCAGGACTGGGTATAGTTGGCCGGACATAGCTCATATATTTGAATAGTTCACGTAGAGTTTCACATTAGCTCTACCTTAAATCTACATTAGCCTGCTCTGACTATCCCTAGCATATCATGAATTTTAACATGCAAGTCTATGGAAAATTTCAAATTTGTAATTTTTCCATGAGTATGCAACCTAATTTCCTAATTCTAACTTAGTTGTTGGCAATTTTCATGCTCAGAGATCCCTCAAAAGTCACAGTTGCATACAAAATGATGTGTACTATCGAATGATATGTTATTGATATAGTTGAGATCAAAGAATAAGTGCTTAGAGAGAAAGATCTGTAAAAATGACTGTTTTTCTAGGGTTTTTCTTCTTTACTGAGCATGCGTGTATCTTCATGGAATTTCAGATATACGTAGAACTGGTAAGGCATAAGAAGTCCTCGTCGGCTCACTTCTCTTTCATCTCAGCCACACATGTTTCGGCTCAACCCTGGGGGCAGGTTTAACAAGATTAAAAACTTAAAGATTTAACTAGACAATTAACTTATATTATTAACTTAATCAAATAAAATGACTCACAGGCATTCAGTTCCAAGTTATCTCTTGACCAAGTTAGTGAGATATGTCGATCAACAAATTCAGTTTAGTCAATTCCGACCAACAAATAATATCGCAAATGAGGAAATACCAGGTTTGCGATATATAATCGATTCAGGTCTAATACCTGATGAATTCCCGAAGAACTGTATTAGAGAAGGTCGCAATGGATTAATGAAATTACAAAGTGCCAAGGAATCAGTGTTGAAAAAAGCATGCGTATGCCGTACTTGTAGGGAGCAAATGACTAAACTAAAATCTAAAGAAAAAATTAGATGTCCAAGCTAAAATCTAATCATTTAGCTCTAAAGCCTAGACTTTTAGTAGCTCTACTAGCCATTATCCGACAGTGGCTGAAAAACAGATTGGTGACAAACTTTGACTTAAATTAACTAGAATCTGCTGAAATCAAGACTGACCGAAAATTTCTTTTCAATGAATACAATGGTCAATCTACTACAGTATTTTGAGCCTTGGACCGATTTGGCTATTTTAATTTTTATTAATGTTGATTAATTGAAATATTTATTAAGTATTTATTGTTAAAGGGCTTTCCCATCAACACAAAATAGTTAATTTTCTTGGTAAAACTTGGTTATTTGATCATATGTTTGATCAAAACCAAGCTTTACAATTTCCATCAAACTTATCTAACTAAGCAAAAAGACACGCGCAGTTATGTGAATGAAAAATTGGTTTATTATTTTATTTAAATAAAAGTGATTTTTGATTGTGTGTGACATTAATTTTTTTATCTTAGAGATGGCGCTCTAAAATTAGGCAAAAAATCATTTTTTATTGAAATTGAATTAATTTAACTAACAAGTACTGAGATGTACTAAGTACAACTATTAAAAAACTTTGATGGGAAAGCCCCTAAGATAAAAATTGAAGGTTATAATTTAATGATTTTGATATTTGTTTTTTTCTCACCCATAGATGATAGCAAAAGACATATTTTACTGAATGTTTGTACAACAACTTTAAGTTATTTGATTCATTGGGTAGTTAATTCATTTCATCTTACGATCGGTAAATTTTATTAATATTTTACTTAGACGATAACTCCGAATCCATGATTAACTATGTAATTATTACAAGCTCTCTCCAAAGCTTCCAAGAAAAGGTTCAATGTTGACTCAGTGAAGTTGTTAGATTCAACAAGATTGGCAAAAACATACATGAATTTCATTCCATGAGTATGAATACCCAAGTTAAGGCAACTTGATTGGAACTTTTTGGCTACTTTTGAGTATGTTGGATGATTAACTAATGGTTTTCGAGTTGATAGAACTTGCTCAGCATCTGAGCAATAACCATTTG